AGGTCTGGATATTGGCAGATTAGAATTAGACCAGAGGATATTTATAAAACAGCTTTCAGAACACATCAAGGGCATTATGAGTTTAAGGTAATGCCTTTTGGCCTTACTAATGCACCTGCTACATTTCAGGCTCTTATGAATGAGTTATTTCATTCTTTCCTAAGGAATTTTTTTTTTAGTTTTCTTTGATGATATATTAGTGTATAGCAGCAGTATGCAGGAGCATGTTCAACATTTACAAATGGTGTTGGAAGTTTTGCAAGTTAATCAATTATTTGCAAAACTGTCCAAATGCTTTTTTGGACAGACTAAGGTGGAATATCTTGGTCATATTATTTCTACTGCAGGGGTGTCTACTGATCCTAGCAAGATTGAAGTGATACAATCTTGGCCTAGGCCTAAAACCCTTAAATCTCTCAGAGGGTTTCTCGGTCTAACAGGTTATTATAGGAGATTTATCAAAGATTATGACATTATTAGCAGACCATTGACAGAGATGCTAAAGAAGAATGGATTACAGTGGAATTCTGTTGCTTATGCTGCTTTTGAAGATCTTAAAAAGGCTATGTGTACTGCTCTAATCTGTTAACTTCCTAAAAAGGCTACTTTTAAAGCCTTTTTCACTTAAGTTATTGTTTGTTTAAAAGCTCATTTTAGTCATTTTAGGATCATGTAGTTGCATATAGTTGCAATTGTGGTGGTTGTACTATTTTATTTCTCAATGGTGTTGTTTGAGGGAAAGGTGCAGTTTGTCTATGGTGTGCAGGGAATAGCAAGGAGAAGGATTCTTTGGGAAGTAATGCCGCGGCATCACACGTTTCTAAAGCAGATTGAAATGCCTTGGCATTTCTGGCGCAGAAAAAGACAAAAAGATATTTCTGCATAAGGACAGCTGGCACTGGACAGCTGTCCCTGCACGTGGAGGACTGCTGTAACCATTTGCCAGAGCTACCAATGGACCACTGCCACTTGGAGGATAAGGTTCATGCACAAAATGTGATTCTAGGGGTATGAGGGGTATTTCGCACCCAACAAACTCATCATTACCCCTAGATATTTTATTTATTATATATGACACCTCATGGGGGAGAAAAAGAGGACGAAGATCACACGTATAGAGCAGAAAAATCACATTTTTATTTTCTTTTCTTTTTCCTTTCTTCTTCCTTGGGATATTCCTCCATTGATAAAGCTCCAATGAGTGGCAAGCTAGGCGCCGAAAGGAGCTAGCAAGCTAGGTGGTTCGTGGTGGCCGAGAGGAGACCTCTGGTGGCGCGTCGAAGGCTTCTTCTCACTTCCCTTTTTGCTGCTATTTCTTTATATTATTTTGTGGGTTGTTGGAACAAATTTTCATGACTTTGTGTTTGGATATTTCGAACCCCACCATGAACTAACTTATTTGGTGGTGGTTGGTTAAATGGTTGTTTAAACTTTATTTTTAATGGTATATTTAAGTTTATTTTGGTTCTTTATTTGCTTTGCTTATGAATGCTTCACCATCTAGGCTTGTAAGAGGCATGGAAATGTCCATCTCTTAGATGAAGGTTAGGTATTCGGAAGAATCATAAACTAAAAATACTTGTAAGTATTCGGAAGAAACGCAAGATAAGATCCTCATAAGCAATGGGTTATGGTATTTTCAAGGGGCTTTGAACCGGCCTAGGAATATTATAACTTAATCCCTTAGATCTCGGAAGAGACTAGGATAGGATTTCAACGACTAAAAAGGGTGTCTTTATCAATAGGGTATGCTGTCCAACATCGTTGAGTGAGAGCAGATGCCTTGACATCCTATTCTGTTAGGTTCTTTTGAACACCTTAGGAAAGCCCTGTCGAGTAAGTAAAGACAAGATAGCTTAAATATACTTGAGAAATAATTTTAGCAACCTTAGACCAATCCTTACCATTCATTTCATTGGAAGCTTGTCACGTGAGGATTATTTTCTTCTTATTTTATTTATCTTTTTAGTTACTGTTTTTACCATTTCTCATTGCCTTGACATTTCACCATACTCAATATTAAACATCCATCATTGCCACTGCATTTCCATTTGCTACACGATCACACCATCAATCCACATCCACCAGCATACACATATCCATTGCCGTGACATTTGTATATATCAAGACTAACTATACTTAGATAATTTAGTGTGTTGCTTTGGTTAGGCTTTCGTAATTTCACCCAATCCTTGTGGAGACGATATTCACTCATCATTATATTACTTGAGCGATTGTGTATACTTGCACATTATTTGCGTATATTTTATAGTACTCACAACACGCAACAAGTTTTTGAGTCCTAGCCCTGCTAGATTTTTCTAAGACATTTTATTTGGAAACAGATGCTAGTTCTGGAGGTGTGGGGGCTGTTTTGTCCCAAGATGGAAGGCCTATTGCATATTTGAGTAAAGCTCTAAGCCCTAGAGATTCAGCATTATCTATTTATGAAAGAGAATATCTTGCTATTCTATTAGCTGTTGCTAAATGGAGACATTATTTTGAGAGTAGCCCATTTGTTATTAAAACTGATCATGAGCCCTTAAAATTTTTGTTAGAGCAGAAGTTGACCACTACCATTCAAAAGAAAGGATTGACAAAGTTATTGGGATTATATTATACTATTCAGTATAGGAGAGGGAAGTCAAATATAGTTGCTGATGCTTTATCTAGAAGATGGGAGGATCAAGGCCAATGTTTGACTATGGGGGTGACAGTTTTGATTCCTAGTTGGGTTCAGGAGATTGAGGACAGTTATAAGGAGGATTCTTTAGCTCAAAATTGGATATCAATTTTGACTATTAATCCTGCTGCTGATAATAAGTGGAAGTATACTAAGGCTGTCCTTAGATATGAAAGGAGAGTTTATGTGGGAGCTACTGGAAGTCTTAGATTACAGATTATACATAATATGCATGATTCTCCTCAAGGAGGACATTCAGGTGCACAGGCTACATATTATAGGATTAGGTCAAATTTTTATTGGCCAAATCTTAAATCTATGGTTGCTACTTATGTACGATGTTGTGACATTTTCCAGCAGACTAAAGTAGAACATATTGCTAAGTCTGGTTTGCTACAACCCTTACATGTTCCTACTCAAGCTTGGGAAATCATCACTATGGATTTCATTGAGGGTTTACCTACTTCACTAAAAAAAACTCTATTTTAGTGATTGTGGATAAATTCACAAAGTACAGTCATTTTCTATCTTTATCTCATCCTTACATTGCAGCAGAGGTAGCTAAACTCTACCTAGACAATATTTATAAACTACATGGCCAGCCTAAAATGGCCATTTCTGACAGAGATAAGACATTTACTAGTTTGTTTTGGAGGGAGTTGATGAAACAATTGGGTACTAAAGCAGTTTTCAGCACTGCTTACCATCCAGAAACAGATGGCCAGACATAAAGGGTTAATCAGTGTTTGGAGCAATATTTAAGAGGCATTTGTTTATATCAACCTAGAAAATGGGCTAAATGGCTACCTCAGGCAGAGTGGTGGTATAACACCACTCATCATACTGCTTTAAAGATGACTCCATTTCAAGCATTATATGGATACAAACCACCTATTATGGTTTGGCCTACAGACTCTACTGTACAAACAGTCAATGAAATTATGAATAGCATGGAACATCTAAGACAGCTAGTTAAACAGCAGTTAGAGTTAGCCAGTAACAGGATGAAGCAACAAGCAGATAAGAATAGATCAGAAAGGAATTTTAATGTTGGAGATTTGGTTTACCTGCGATTACAGCCCTATCGGCAGACTTCCCTTGCCCTGCGCAGAAATCTCAAGTTAGCAGCAAAATACTATGGACCATATAAAATAATTGAAAAGATAGGTGCAGTGGCTTATAAATTGCACTTACCAGAGTCATCGAGACTTCACCCAGTATACCATGTGAGTCTCTTGAAGAAGTTCATCGGGGATTCCTCCAAAGCTGTCACAGATCCTCCTGCAATAGAAGATGACGGTCAGTTGCGAATCAAGCCATTGAAGGTGGTGGGAAGACGTATCGTGAATAGAAATGGTAAACCCATAACTCAGCTATTGATTCAATGGGAGAACTTGGATGAAGCGAATGATACTTGGGAAGACTATTCCGTTATGCGAGGACAGTTTCCTATGTTTGATCCTTGGGGACAAGGATCGTCTCAAGCCGGGGGTATTGTTATAGCATGAGAAGAGGAGGAAGAACGTGATGTTAGAATCGAAGGCGAAGAGGTAGAACGGAGGAATGAAGAAGATTTGGGATTAGAAGAACGAAGGTTAGGGATTGAGGAAAATAATTTGGGGATTGAAAGTAGGTAAGGAATTGAAGCACGAGGGAGTAATACCTTGGACTTAGCTGATGTGTTGGAGAAGACCAAGAGAACAGTAGAGAAGAGTGAGAGGCCCAATCTGGACGGCCCAATACCTGCAGATGATATAGAAGGATAGGAATCAGTTTGTTATTATTCTGTTATGACAGTTGTCCATTTTTGAGTCTCAATTCCAGCTTGTAACTAAATAATACCTGCTGTGTAATCACATTTTTCCTTATGCAATGAATGAAGTATTCTTTTCTAAATCTTCTCTCAACTTTCTTCTCTCGAATCTCTTTCTTTTCTCTCAATCCATAACAGTTATAAACAGTACAAAGCTATATTCGTATAGGTCGCAATTTGGTGAACCGGATCAGTTTATTTTCGAGTTGTAACTTGTACAGTTGCTTCCTTTGTGTCGAGGTCTGGTTTCATGCTTGGATTTGGGTTGTTGGACATTTTAGTTTTTGCTGGTTGGGTCGGTTTGCATCTATATGTCTATTTCGATGGAGTTTTGAAACTAGTTACGTTATTGATTGGTGATTTAGTGGATTCTTGTTATATTCTTTCCCGGATTGTTCTTGTCGGACAAGGTTTATTCTTCCCTGTTTCTCTTCTTACTTTCATGATCCTAATGCTTGTTGTTGTGATTTTTGTTTTTATGGTTCTCTTTTGCAATCGTCTCGGAAAAACAGTGATATGCTTCGGGAAAACCTTGAACGAATAGTTGGCACGGATGGTTCCACCTTTAGTGGCTTAGACCTTGCAACTCTTACTAGGAACAAATATGGCTGGTCTTATGATGTTCAATTGATAAAGAAGGTATGCCTTTCTAAATGAGAGTGTGGCTTTATCTGCATACCTTTACTTTATCTAACGTATAGATTCTTGATTACCGTTTATCGTTAATACTTTTCGAAATGGTGATTTACGAGGAGATTCGAGTTTGCTAAGTTAGAGATGGTCATTTCATGTATAGAATGTAGCCATGTAGATGAATCTTGTTAATGGTGTCTCAACATTTAGCATCCTAATTTGTATAGAATTCAGTTCTTTCCTTGATGTCCCTTTTTCTGCATTGATTTTGAAATTATCTGCTGAAAATGTCACCTCGTCTAATGAGGTAGAGAGAGAACCTTTATGTCCTTTATATGCAAAAACACATGGCTTTGCAAGTAAAAACTAATGGTGACTCATTTCAAGCGCCAAGCTTCGATTTATACTATAATGTTCCGATGTCGGCTTTGCGAAAACTGCTTTGTTTCTTTAATTATAGGAGGTAAAAATGTGTTTCTGATGGCAATAGCAGATATCACATTCATGTTGTTATTAGAAATATGCTTCTCTTTGCATGCTGCGGAACTCGACTATGATGTCGTACTTTCTTATTACACAAGACAATACACCTAACTTGTCCCAAGTAGTTGACATCACCATTTTCATATCTTCGAGGGCATCCTATGGTGGTTGGATTAAGGGTTTATTCAGTTCCTAATTTGTGCCTGCTTGAGATTTTTATTGTATCACTTGGGAGTTAACCTTGACCTGCCTTAATTTAGGAGTTAATGGGAAGAAATCTCCTTGCAATGAATGTTATGTGGAAGTGCATGGAGCAGGTATTTTGATCTACAGATTCATGCCAGGGAAATACACTATTAGCAGAGTACAAGTATACGAAAAAGCGAGCAGGCTCGGGAGCATGTTTTTTTTTATTATATAATCATGCATTGTTCATGTTCTAAGCTCATGTTTCCATTTGAGTGAAGGGGTCATTTCCCTTAACCGAAGAAGAATGCCTCCTAAGGCTCGATGATGTGGCAAACACATTGAAATGTTGGGGAGCAGTCTCGCACATTCGGAACAGCTTGGCGAAGCTGAAAGAGAGGCCTCGAATAGGGAAGGTAAGGTTCCAGTTCAGCTTTGTTCACCATTGGCATTCATTCATTTATACACTGATATTTGTTTGATGTTAACGAATGATGCAGGCGGTGAGCATATTTATCGACATGGACAAATCAGGAGGTCGAGCAAACGAATGGATTTACAAGTAGCCGTGATTGTTCGATCAGCGTTGTAAAAATTACATTAGGATCATTGTGAACTGATATGGATAGGGTTTATATCATCTATCCGGCTCACTTCGAACCTTCAACTCTTCGCTCTCGGTCTCAACACACGCACTGGTTATCCCATACTTGAATTCTTTGTATAAACGAAACGTCTTTTGAGGTAAAGTATAGACACTAAGCATTAGACTAATATTAAATTTTACAAAATTGTATCTCATATTATGCTTGCTCGTCCAAGACCAGAAGGGTTCAACAAAGAATCAGACCAGAAGATTGGTGAACAAAGTATTGAAGTTCATATTACTCAAAACCCTAAATTTAGATATAGCTTGAACATCCAAAACATGAGGAAATTGTAGGTATAAATAAACAATTCATACAGCAAAACCGTAAAAAATAAAAGTTCCATCGCCATAATCTTCTTCCCTCGGCTATTTCCCCCCGCTTCGCTGGGCGAATGGTTCGGGGGTTGAGCAAAGGTAAAAAAATAGGCAAAGGAACTGCATCTTAGCTTTGATCAATGTATCAGGGTTGCTACAAAAGCTTTGGCTTCACAGTGGGAATCCAGAGGTGTATGATACATTCAATATACCAGCGAAAAAACTGATGCCTGGAAATAGCATATTTAGAAGTGGGGAAGAGCAAAAAACAGCAATGTGGGTGGGGCAGATTGACCTGAATTAAAAATTTTCTGATTTTCCTTTTTCAGGAGCACCAACTCCAACAGCGGAAATAAAGGACCCGACCGGTTCTTCGAATATAATCAGCTTGCTGCTCGGTTTCTGCAGCTTGTCGGTTTCGCTTGGCATCTGCTGCTGCCCGCCTCTCTTCTGCCTTGTGCCTTGCAGCGGCTAGTTTATTCATGAGCTTATCATGAGCACGCCCCCTCATCCTTTCAACCTCAACCTAAAAGGAGAAAATCATACTCCATATATGAATTTGTATCTACCGAGTAACAATAGAATTTCTTTCCATTATCTTCAAAATGTATGGTGTAGCAACTAGGAAATTTGTAAGCTGGTAACAACTTCTCAATTTCCTAAACTCAGAGACCTGTAGCATTTTATCATGTACATCTATATGAGAAATTTAAGATTGATTATGAGGGAACTAAAGAAAATCAATTGCCTAAGCTAACTTGGCAGAAAGTGTACGAGCTGAGCTCAACTGGGTTGTTTAACGTGTAACTCAAGCTTGACTTGGGATTGAACTAACAGAGAGTGACTGAAAAGAGTTTGAATACTAAGTTGCTTGGTCGCAGTTTGCCTCTTTTCAATCCTAATTAATGCTCTTTGAATGCATATTATCTCGCCTAAATGTTCTTTCAACTCTATGCTTACAAGTGAAAAAAAATTCTCCAAGACGCATGAAAAATGATCATGATTTTATTAGTTTTAGGGCTTGCAATAGGGAATATCACAATACAGAAATAACATAGTAACAACAAAATATAAATTAAATGCTATATGATACCTCTATCTTCCTCATCTCGGCTTCAGTTTTTGCTTTTTGATGGTTCTCCCATGCTTGGATTTTCATTTCTTCACGTTTGAACCTGGATAATAACCTCATAACTTTACAATTCGAGTTGCAAATGGAGTGTTAACTAAAAACCAACCAATGCATAAGCGGTATGCAGGTTTTTGTATATGAATCAATACCCATACACTCAAATGTCAGTATTCCAAAATCATAAGATCATTCCATAAAAATCCTAAAGAAAATTCAAAAAGTGCATTGAAGACTATTTAGAAAGAAAATACCTAGCCATATACTTGGCTTTCTCTGCCTCTTCCCATGCTGCTGCGCGGGTTTCAATGACACTTTTAGATGGTTGTTCTGGTGCTATAGCTTTCAGTGAGGTGGATGCATCCTTATCCTCCTCCTCCTTGCTAGCCCATGCAGCTATATTTGGTTTACCCAACTGAGCCCCAAGAACCATAATTTCTCTCCTTGTTTTCATTTGGAGCTCCTTCTCTGACAACTCCATGTTCAGACCCAAGGGGTCTTTACCTGAATTTTCGGGAGATGCAGACAGAACAGCTCTGCTGGGAGTTGATGGCCTGGATGAATTTGGGCTCCGAATTGGTGTTGTTGACTGCACAGGAGTTCCTGTCCTCGAAGGTTCTTGGCTAGCAATAGGAGTCATTTCTGTGCCCATCTCTCTCATCGAAACTGATCTAGCTGTTGGAGGAGGCGGAATAAACGTCGTAGCACTATGTATCGATATTGATGAATCATGCTGACTAAGACTAACTGCAAGGAAAGCAATAATTAATTTATTCGTACATCGCCAATTACAAGGAAGCTTCATGGTAGACACATTTATGCAATAGCACAACTGCAAGTTAACCATGCCTGTTCTTTGTGTGTAAATTTCCAAGTTCACTTGTTGTCTGGAGCTGCTTGCGATCTTAAAATATGGGGATTAAAGATCTAAAAGGCTGAGATTTTTGTTCTCGTGACAGAAAAACAATAACTGCACATTTAGTCTTACATGAAAATATAAAAAACTAACCACAAAAAGTTGACTAAAGAGGAACACTATAATACTATCAGTACGACAGTAACATGAAGGAATTCCTTTTTATGCACAAAATATTCAAACAGAAGGCTCCCCTCAAGTGATACTGGTATCAATCAGCCAAAAGTTCATCACCACATGATTTATTCAGTACAACACAAAATGTCCAAGTTTTAACATGATTTGTGCTCAAGAAGAGCTAATTTCTTCGATTATGAATATAAAGGCTAATTCTTGTAATAGAAACGTGCAAATGGTAGTAAGAGTAATTTGAACATAAAATAAAATAAATCCTTACTAGCTGACTCGGCAACAGAATTCTCAATCATCAGTACAGGCTTCCCATATGAATCCACAACCGGGTATGAATCACTCTCCCAATTCACAAACTTCTGCATCCCATCTTCCTTCTTGGCATGATTCATATTGATCCGTTTTGTATCTGGTTCTTCGAAAGGAACCATCCTTTGATCTGGAACTTCAACAACCACCTTAGTAGACGACTGTCTCCCGTAACCAACATTACCCCCTTTTTTTGATCCCACCCCTTGGCCAGCCAGCCCTGCCTTTGGCAGATTCGCTGTAGGACTAGCTATCCATTTCTGGGCATCATCCCATTTAGACGGAGCCGGCTTAGAGAACGGACCAAGGGGAACCCTTTGCGGCACTCGTTCGGTCTTCTGAAACTCAAAGATTGATGAGGACACACTCATATTTTCATGTCCACTATCATAATCTAAACCAGGATGATCCCCGATGAACTGGTTCCGCGTCGTGCCTAAAGAATGATCCTTTGATCTTCTGTGGCTACCATTCTGCAAAGCAGCCATGGAATCTGCTGTTGTGGAAGTGGAACATGCTGGAAGAACACTCACCACATCTACATCTTTGCAACTATCAGAGCCACTTTTCCCTGCACAAAAAAGAAAATTAAAAATAAAAATCATCAGTCTCCGATCTCTTTCCATTCTGTTCAACTTTTTTTTTTTGCCGAATCTATTTTCATATGAATCAAATGAAAAAAATACATAAAAGAAACAATAAATAAAATAAAATAGACAAATACCTGAATCATCATCAAGGTGAGAAAGTTGAGATCTTAAATCTGTTGAAGATTCAGCTTCTTCTTCTTGCTTTCTCTTCCTTTCTACTCCTAATAGCATTGTCCTTAGCTTAGCTGGGGAAAATCCACCTCCGCTCTACGCATTTTCACAAACAGAGATTTGAATTTCTTTTTCTTCAGTTACAAATGGATTTGAGCAAAAGATCAGCTAATGAAGATGAAATCGAAATCTCCTCTTTCTTTCTAGCTCGCTTTCTCACTTGACCAAAAATAACAAAGACACAAAAGCATTGAACGAAGAAAAAGCCGTTAAAAAAGGGAGATTTGCGAGAAGAATACGTACCTGAGGCTTCTGGATTCTCTCGTAATCCATGAAAATGATGACCGATTTGCTTTCAATCTACCGGTCCAAAAACAAAAAAAAAAAATACAAAAAAAAATGCTAAATTCACTGAACTGGCAGCATTGCAGCTGTTATTATTACTACTATCGTGCTTGTTGTTTGAGAGACGAACTATACAGTGAAAGCAATGAAGTTTGTGAGATGTTTCTCTTTCACCCCCTATAAACTGACAAATCTCCCCAGAAATAATTAATATGCTTTGAGTTTCGATTTGTGAGCTTTGGATGCCATGGACAAGGGGTCAGAGGAAGAAAGTGACAGAAATGATAATTTTTTTAAATGTCTATAAAGGCTTTATTATTTTCGGGTAAAGCACACAAATGGTCTCTTAACTATATTATATTATTTTATTAAGTCACTTAATTATTAAAAGTTACAAAATAGTTCTTTGATTATAGAATGTTGTTTTGTTTAGTTCTTCAACTATTGGTCAACTAACTATTCATTATGTTTCAACCTCATCCTTTTCAGTTAAAAAATTGATTTTTGTCTAAGTTGGACGTTAACATAATGACTAGGATATGACAGTTATTTGAGATTTTAGGATCAGATTTTATCATATCACAATTAGTAGGTTAACGTTCAGTTCAGAATACCGTCAATTTTTCAATGGAAAATGATATGCTTGAAACATAATGAATAGTCGAGTGATTATTTTGTAACCTTTAAGAACGAGGGATTCAACAAAGAAACACTATAGTCTAAGGACCATCTAGTAACTATTAATAGTCAATGGACTTAATAAAATAATATCATATAGTCGGAGAATTATTTGTGTATTTTACTCGTTATTTTCTAGATAGATTTTAATTAGGTGTTGGGTATACTAGGCTGCTGTATCTTTTATTTTCTATTTGTCTTATTTTCGTCACAGATTGTGAAAGAAAATTAACATTTTAATCACTTACATTATCCGTTTATTATATTTTGAGCATTTTATCGTAAACTCTCGTAACACGCCAGTAAATGTAGTTAAATTTTAACTTAATCCCTGAATTTTAGACATAATATTAAAAAAAATTAGTTAACCCTTATTCTCATATGTAATAGGGTAAGGGGGAGGGATGATAGTAGGTTGCCCCAATGCTAGGTTGAGAGCAGCTTTCGTAGAGACCTCCAAATTATGAATTGCCTCCCGTGGGACTCGATCCCAGGACCCCAAGATTAAGAGCCTTGTACTCTACCAACTGAGCTGGACAGGCAATTCTTAGACATAATACTAACTTGATCCTAAATTTAAGATAACATATTAATTTAATTTCTAAGGTTTAGATAAAACATTAATTTGACCCTTAAATTCCATCAAAATCTGTTATCCATTGTCGTTCATCACACTATCATCGATCATCGTTGATCGTTGTTACTGATTACTATCGACCACCGTCCTCGGTCACCGATCATTTCATACAAAAAAATATTTTGAATTTCATTACGGTGTGTTGTTTAGAAGTTAAGATCTGAGATTTGTTTACATTAAAGATGGATGTAAATGGTTGTCGCTTTGTATGGTCGAATCCATATCTGTGGATATGTCACCGTCTTAATTAGAACAAATCCCATTCATGCACGCCATTGGCATCGGATACTATTATTATCATATTGTAAACTATATTAATTTAACTAAAACTAACGATAAAATAACCATTTATGCCATTAATTTAACCGAAAGTAACGATGAAATAACCATTGTCACTAATTTAACTAAAACTAACAATGAAAAAAACCATTTTGTTAACGTATTAAAAAAAATCAAGAACGACTCTTTTTTTAAAAAAAATCTTTTTTATTTTAACAAAATATATTTCAAAAAATCATATTTGGATAAATTAGACGTTTAGTACCTAAACTATTAAATTTAAACCATTTTAGTATTTAAACTTTCAAATTTTGAAAATCATACTTAAAGTTTAATTTTTGTTTCATTTTAATTCCACAGTTAAAAGCTTAAGGTCGAGCTTTGAAAAAAGTTGAAAGTTTAGATACTAAAAAAAACTAAAATTAACATTTTAAGTACTAAACATATTAGGTTCTAAATGACGGGATACTAAAATGAAACAAAACCTACATGTTTGGTATGATTTTCAAAAAATTAAAAATTTTGGTACTAAAACGGACCAAATGACCCGAAAAGCTACATCTCAAACAAATTCCGATTACAGAAATTGTAATATATATATATATATATATATATATTAAAAATCAGCAAATTCTACAAATGCCTAGTTTTTCCCAAGAAACCAAGCTATCTACGTTCATGGACATTCCTGGCACCTGATGAGTATCTTCTAAAATCACCAGCAGAGCTTCTGCCTTTAGCATCTGTGTGCTTCTCTTCCTCTTGATCAGTCGCTGATTTTTGCTTCCGCAACATATCCTCGGCATGTCGGCGCCATAGTACTTCCCTCTCTTTTCTTGGCATTTTGTTATACCTGGGATCTGGCTTCAGAAGACGTTTGGCCGTCGACCATGAATTGAGGACTGTTTTACCGCCTTCGGTATGTTGAGCAGCTGCATCTTGAGTTATGACTTCGGATAATAGAGCTCTGAAGTCATTCGAGAATCTCTGCAGGATGCCGAATCATAGGGTTATGTCAGGCACGGTTGTTCAAAAGAAGTCCAACAACATGCACAATAAATCCCTTAAGAATTAAAATGTCCCATCCTTTCGTTTCTTCAACTCGTAATCGAACAGTGTCTTTATTGATAATAGCGTAGTTGCAAATTTTACCTCAAACAGCATTTTTATGTGTTCGCGGAAGAGTTTCTCCATATCAGATGAATCTAAATCAGGGTTCGCCGCACGTCCCTGAGGATCCTTTTCCAACTTAGGCTTCGATTCAGTCCAAGATGCCTAGAAAGATTGATAAAAGAAAGGCGTCAACTGTTTGACAGATTCCAAATGAACCGACAAAAGCAAGCATTTAAGAATTTTGGCCTTAATTTGATGTTGAATGATTAGGGACTTATCCAAGTGGAAACAAAAGCAAGTGAGATTTCCACAAAAGATATGGTTATACAATGTAAATATAAATAAATTCAAAACAACAGTCGATTTCGTATTGTATCATCTGAAAAATTGTTAGAGAAAAGTACATACCTGGGGATGTTTAATTGTTTCCACGAGCAAAGCTTGAAAAGATGAAACTGCCTCCTTCCTGCGAACTTTGAGCCGCACCCTTTTCATTTCTTGTTCTTCTCTCTCTTTCCTTTTTCGCAACTCTCTCTCTCTTTCCTTCAGTTTATCCTGTTGCGGAATAGTACAAACTTACAATTCTAGTTTGCTTATGCCAGAAAAGATTAGAGGGAGAGGGAGAGAGACGGAAATTATACCTCCTCCTCTTTTCTCACTTTCTCCTTACGCTCTGCTCTCTCGTCTACGGCTTTGAGTTCAGATATGTAATCATTAAACAAAACCTCTCGATCCTCATGCTTAACAGATTTATACCTTGGATCATTCCTCAAGCTTTCCTTCACCTGAAACAACAAAAAGAAAAGGTAAGAAAATGGGTCATCTTTTCCATCATATTTATTAAAGATGATAAGAACCAATTCTCTTTATCTTTTACATGCTTGCAGACTTGCAAACATGAACAACCCAATGAAGATGCAAAAGATATGCAAGATGCCTAAATGTTCAAGAACATACTCTCTCCAGAAGGTCAGAAAAAAACCACTAACCAAATGTCCTAATTTAAATTGCACATACCCTGGACCAACGGGAATTAACATTGATATCTCCTTTCTCTTTAATCATGGCCTTAAAACTAGAAGCAGCAGCAGCACGAATGGCTCGAGTCTTGTCTTCAGCTGCTCTCTTCAAAAGAAAAACCCTGAGACAGAAGCAGAGACATTTCTTAGCCAGTTCGAGAAAGTAGAGGAAAAAATTTCGGGCATTAACGATTCAAACCAAAAGAGATATAAGCCTAAAGGACACACCCAAATTGAATCAAAGAATCTGGTCTCTAGCCTACTACCGGCTGATAAATGTTGCTTTCAATGTTATTATTAGAAAACCTCCTCTGTCTAGAGTCAACTGAACAAGTTCAACATAAATTTAAAAAGGTATTGGCATCAAAACATACCACATGATATTATAATGACACAACACATGTTGCACTGAGAGATCAACACAACAAATTGGATATAAGCAACAGATATGACTAAGACATTTATCTTACTTCAAAACAAAATAAAGGCACAACGGAAAAGAAAGAAAATAATATGTTGTAAAAGTCTATCAAAGAAACCAAAAAATTGAAGCTAATAGTAGAGAAGAAAGGTTAAAAGCTTTTCAATGATGTCTTGGAGGAATAGTCAAGTAGCTCGTTCACGTTACTGTCAACCTTCTGCAAAAAAGCACAAACATTAAATAAAAATAATGACCGAGTCTATCTTAGTAATGTTACCTTTCATTTAATAAAAGTTCCCTATCCTTACGGTCCAAAGCCTCAAATCGAGGATCACTTCCCCATTTTCTTTTGAAAGACTGATAATTGGTGTTGTGATCAATATCCTTTAGAATAAAAAAAATCAGCTCGTAAAAATCTACAGTTTGGCAGTTTCAAATCAAGATTTTCAACATATGCGACAAAAATTGACAGTGAATTTTGGACAATTTAAGAAACCTCTGATGCTTCACCCAGCAACTTCTTAAATCCTTCTATTGCAGCCTTCTGAGCTGCTCGTTTTTCTCTGCGTTCCTCCTCAGCTCGTGTCTTAACATAGTGTTCAAATAAGGATCTCCTAGCAGAATGACTTGGAATAGCCTGCAACAGGATGCACTTTTAGAAATTAAAACTCAATAGTATGACTTCATATAGTGTTCAAATAAGGGGTTTTTTAACGAGGCCTTCCATTTTTATAAAAAAAAATAGTATGACTTCATCATGAAGTACATCAAAGAGGAAAACTAAATTTGTTACCAACTAAAAGAGCATGCAACAAAAAGAAGTCACGTCTTAATTATTAACTTCAAAATAAGATCTCTTCATTTCTTCGTTTGCATACCTAAGCGATCATTTTATCATAATTAAGAATGACATATAGTTCAACGGCTAGTATTGTTCCTTTTTCTCATTCAACAACATTCATATGATTAACTGTTCTAGGAATTCCAGTAGCAGGTAAGTTCCCTATAACTAACAAGAAAGTAATAGATAATCTTTAG